AAGAGCGTAGGAAATTTGGGGGGGGAAATGGAGAGGTAAGACACTTGTGGGACACAGACAAGGTTTATTAACTGTTGACAAGGATGTGTATGGTGGTCTCACCTGGGCTGGACTGAGGTGTATATCATACTGGGTAAAGTCTCTTCACAATCTAAATGATGTATAGCGATTTAATGTATGAATAATAATAATGAAAATATATAAGTAAAAATTTTTTAAAAATTGAATTAGTTGTAAATCTGCAAAAAATCTCCAGATCCAATTCTACCAAACATTTAAAGAAATAACTCCAGGATTATACAATCTCTTCAAGAAATTAGAAGGGGCCAGCAGGTGGCATGGTGGTTAAGGTGCTAGACTCCCACACGGCCAACCACGGTTCAAGTCCTAGACTAGGTATCTTGAAAACCACATTAGGCACGTGTACATGCATGCCCAAAATCCCAAGAGGAGAATGGAGGAGAAGGGAATACAGTGTGGCCATCCTTCCTGGGATGGCACACTTTGGGGGGTGATTTCTCACTTTCCTTCTCTCTCTCCTAAAAGTGCAGAGGCACTATGGCAAAAACTTTTTAAAAAAATAAAACAGGGACCAGCAGTTAGCGAAATGGCTATGTCGCTGGACTCCCACGTAGTTGACCATGGTTCGAGTCCCGGACCCGGTGGTTTAAAACTCACGCCGGGCATGTGTGTGTGCGTGCCCAAGATCCTGAGAGGAGAACGGAGAAGGGATTGCAGTGTGGCCATCCCCCCGGGGGGTAATTTCTCGCTTTCTATCTCTCTGTCTCTTTCTGTCTGTCTGGCAAGCGCATGCGCCCTATAGCAAAAAACCTCTCAAAAAAAAAAAAAAAAAAAGAAAAGAAATACTTCCAAATTCACAAAATGATGTAAGCCTTACTCTGAACCAAAACTAGACAAAACAACAAAAAGAAAGAAAACCATAGACCAATATATCTTATGAACATTAATTGTAAAAATTCTCAAGGAAAATTTAGAAACTTAGATTCAGTAACATACAAAAAAAAATAATACATTATTACCAAGTAATGTGGAACCAGCAGATGGTGTAATGGTTCCATCACTGGACTCCCACATAGTCAACTGTAGTTCGAGTCCCACACACAGCGGCTTAAAACTCATGCCGGACATATGTGCATGTGTGCCCAAAACCTAGGAGGAGAGTGGAGAGACTGCAGCATGACCATCCACCCTGGGGGTTGATTTCTTGATTTTTGGCTCTCTGTCTCTGTCAAGTGCATGTATCGTAGAGCAAAAATATCTCTTGGGGTTGACAAGTGGCATGGTGGTTAAGGGCACTGGACTCCCACATGGCCAACCGCAGTTTGAGTCCTCCACCTAGTGGCTTGCTATCTTGGTTTCTCTCTTTCTCTCTCTCTGTCCTCTCTGTCAAATTTAAATAAATAAATAAATAGATAAATGAAGTAAAAAAAATTCTGTCTAAAAAAAAAAAAGAGCAATCAATGTAATACACTAATGAAGAAAATCACTTCATCATATCAATTGATGAAGTAGACAAAATTAAACATCCTTTTATAATAAAAAGATATTCTGGGGACCAGCAGTTGGCATAATGGCTATGTCACTGGACTCCCATGTAATCAACCGTGGTTCAAGTTCCAGACCCAGTGGCTTAAACTCATGCCGGGTCCATACGCGTGCATGCCCAAGATCCCAAGAGGAGAATAGAGGAGAAGAGATTGCAGCATGGCCATCCTCCCTAGGGGTTGACTTCTCACTTTCTGTCTCTCTCTGTCTTTCTGGCGAGTGCACAAGCCCTATAGCAAAAACCTCTCCAAAAAAAGAGATATTCTGTAAACTAGAAGATTTCCTCAAACAGAATATTTACAAAAAAACCTATATTCAATGTTGAAAACCAGAATGCTTTCCCATTAAAATTAGGAAAAAGGCAAGGATGTCCCTAATCACTAATCTTATTCAAAAC